TCGAGATCTTCTGAGACTGGAGCAGATGCAGAGGACTCCTTGAAATAGGAAGCACTTAGAATAATGTGGAACAGGACTTATACAGGCTGACAAACCGTGTTCAGCACAAGCTGAGCAATTTCACGTTGCTGGAAGCGCGTGCGTTTTCCAAGCTTTCCTGCTAGCTCCATATTGAGGTTGGACAACTCCAATGTATGCCTCAAACACTCATTTGCTAGGTAAGGAAGCAGTTCTTTAAAACAGGCATTTCATCTGGCGACACAACAGCAGAAAGCGCAAAACGGCGAGCGCTTACTTCAACGTATTCTAGTAAAAAGCTCGAAAGACGGCCTGGTCCGCTGGGAAGATGGGGCGTGTCAGTACGGCTGCGTTTGGCGCTGCGCCAAACCCGTTTTTCACCAACTGTTGAAGCGAACAAGTGGCAAGAATGCACCATATAGTTCGTATCTGTATCTTTATCCAACTGTACGGGGCCAAACGCAGCCCCATCGACAAGGCCCGTTATTCTCAGCGAGCAAGACTGTACATGATCATGAGAAAAAAAAATTACAGGACTGCGAAAATCGTCACCATAGGGGTTCAAACAATCAAACCATCGTTTATCCTGTATTTGGTATTCCTGCAAAGGTGCAGGAAACCGCAGGAATGGAGGAAAGGCATTTTGAAGAAGGGACTTTTCACAAAACTCACTGAATACAATCAGCACACTTTTCGTACTCGTAGTAGATGAGGTGAGAATTGGCTCTTTCCAGCCGAAATACAACTTTCTCTTCATCATCTAGTAGCCCATCTTGCACGGTTCCTGCCTGAAGGTATGCATTTCAGAAGAGTAGCAATTGAGCGCTCATCTGCGATCGAATTTCTAACTCACTAATTCATCCATCATATCTTTCAGTTCTGTTGATGGCTCCGTGAGCATTTTCTGCCATAGCAAGACGATTCTGGAGTTAAACATTTTTTTTTTGCAAGAGAACAACTCAAAACAACATGACAATAACAGCAACCTGAAAGCAAGTAAATTAGCACGTGGGCAATTCTCCCTTAGCTTTTTGTGATCCACTATTGCTATTTTGGAGAAGAGAAGCTGTGGAAGCAACCTGAAACAGAGGTGACATGTGAGACGAGGATGGACAAACCGAGAAAGGATACTGAAGGCTAAAACTTTGTCAGTATTGGAATCTCGCCTACATTCTTAGCGCTTTGGGAAACTTCGGGATTGCTTCGCTACAGATACAAGTTGTTCTGATAGGATCTGCGATTTGGTGCGGTCACTGGGTGTGTCTGGAAGTGATCGCTAACCAACTTAGCATGCTTTTGAATCGCTTCAGAAATCTGGCTCGGCATTGGGCGCCATTTAGCACAACGTAGGTATGCTGCTCACTTTAACATGCGCATCCAAGAAGGTTATCAGTGCTCGAATGACTCAGCAAAGCGGCTCATTACGAAGTACAGATATGACTAAGAATATACCCAAATAGGCAAAAAGGCTTTCAAAAATTAGAGGA